GGAGTGGCCCCTTCCCCACCATTTCCTGCACACAAAAAAAGAAATAACTAACAGAGTGAAAAGACAACCCACAGAATGGAGAAAGTAATTACAACGTGTTATATACATGCACCAGCTCCACACAGGAATGTAAACAACATGTACTGCAAATATGCATTAATAAAAAAAAATTTAAAGAAGAAAGGAAATGAAAAAAAGAAACTCCTAGCAGATTAGCAACACTCCTGGGAATGCCTAAGGGATCATGGAGTGTGAGTTGGGTACTATATCCAGTCCCTGGTTCATTCCTCTCTAGCACTATTCCCTTGCTCTGATTCCTAGACATCAGGAACTGAGAAATTTGCTCCCCCACATTCTTCCACCATGATGCTTCTGCCTTGGAGCCAATCAACATGGACTGAATCCCACGAAACCATGAGCCTAGTCAAACCTCGGCTCTTCTAAGTTGTGACAGGTACAAGGAAGCTGACTAAGATACCTGATCTGAAACAGAATAAAAGCAAATAGCAGGGAAGAGGGATGAAGAAAGTAGGAGGAGGAGGAGGAAGGTGAGCTTCATTTTAAAATAGGACAGCCAGGAAGTCCTTTGTAGAAGGAGATGATGCAAAAGCCAGAATTGGCTCTGAGTAGACCCAGTAAAAATCAAGGAGGCCCATGAGCACAAAGTGGAGTGAAGCAGGAAGAGACTCTGAGGTGAAGTCAGAGAGGCTTCTCAAGGTCCTACAGACAACACGGGCCTTGAAGGCCACTGCAAGAACACCAGCTTTAACACTGAGTGAGGTGGGAAATCACGGAGTGGTTCTGCGCAAGGTGAGATGAGATCTGGCTTGGTTTAATAGGCTCACCCTCTGACAGCCAAGTTGCCAAGGTTGTGTAGGCAGGGAAATAAAGGATGCTATGGCCGACAGAACCCAGAGTTGTGTAATCTCAGAGCATCTTTAACACACCGAGCTTGTTAATCAAGCAGGAAGCACACAAATGGTATAGCTGTTAATATACAAGCTGTAATGGCCTTATCTGTTGAAAGAGAAGGTGTTCATACTGGTAAGGAGATAAACTCGCCCTCAGCCTTCCTTGGGGAAAGTCTTCAGTCGTACAAATAATTAGTAGAAAGTTCCCCTCAGATCTAGAAGTTCACAGCTGTGTTGAAGACCAAGTAACTCAAAATGAGTGATTTAATGAGTGATCTGATCTCAGAACAGTAAGAGGGAAGAAAAAGGATGCTTGTTAGAGAGGTAGCATGATGTAATGATGAATACGATATGTGTACATATCGGTCCCCCAGGTTGAACGTAATCACTGTCACAAACATATACTCAGAAAAAATCAGATTTAAGAAAAGAATATGAGCAAATAACTGGTCATGGTGGCACATGCCTGTATTCCCTGCACTTAGGAGGTTGAGCCAGGAGGATCCCAAATTCAAGGCCAGCCTGGGCTACATAGCAAAACCCTGTCTCAAAAACACAAAAGAAAAGAAAGAACAAGGGCATAGACATTTGCAGCCACGTGGACAGAGCGGGAAGACATTACGTTAAGTAAAATGCTAAGCCAGGCACCAGGAAACAAATACTGCATGATTTTACCCAGAGGCGTAAGCTTGGAAGTTGCTTTCAGAGAGGTAGAGAGTAAAATAGTGGTCGGTAGACACTAAGAAGGGGCGAGAGATGGGTGACAGAAGCAGTTGGTACAGTACCTAATTAACGTTAGGAAGAATAAGTTCTCATGTTTGCAGTATGGTAGGGAATTATAGTTCAGAATAGTTTGTTAGATATGTTATAAAGGGCAAAAGACAGGAGTTCAACTCTTCCTAATACAAAGAAATGATAAATGTTTAAGGAGATGGATATGGTAAGCTGACCACTATACACTGTATACATGGATTAAAATATCATGGTCTACTTTGTAAATGTAGACAATTGCTGCGTGTAAATGTTTTTAAAATTAAACAATAATATGAGCATACAGCGTCTCGTTTGAAACCAGTTCTGCCACTTCCAAGCCAAGTGGTCTTAAGCGAGTAACTTAACCTCTCTGGTCCTTGGTTTCTTTGTCTATAAAAGTGTAAGTATGTAGCCCCCTCTTTATGGAGTTTTTAACAGAACTAAATGACTTTACAGTGCCTGGGACATCGCCCTTACTAATTTCTTATGCATGTGCCATTAGAGAACACACACACTGTCACGGAGGTTGAACAAATCAGCATATCAATTTCTGGACACTTATTTCCAAGCTGAATGCCTTCAGTGTCATTTGCATGGTCCAATTTTAGACCATGAGTGGATCCTCCTTCTCTCAACACTTCCTCTTTTTAATGGTTTTTATGAGTCCATGCTTTCAGTCCATAGAGATTGCGTTCATTGTGGTGAGCCAGTCCGTGTACATAACACATCTCAACGCTTTCATCCCCTCCCCGCCCCTCCCTTGCTCTCCCCTCCACCTCTTCTTCCCCTTCTGCAAAAGTTCTATCTCCCGTTTCCTGTTATCTAGCTTTTATTTTGTTGTTTAATTTATTCATACTTGGGGTTTCTCACAGAAGAGAAACTACGCGATATGCAAGCTTGTGTGTCTGATCTAGTTCATTCAACACTGTTAAAATATTATTGGGTCTTTGCTGATTAATTGTCCAGCTGCTGCTTGTGGCTGTGGACGCCCGACTGTAATCAGCCCCATGCGTGAGCACTTGGGTTCCCCGGAGCACCGGCCCCTCCCCTGACCCGAGGAGCCCTCCGTGATTGCGAAGCACCTCAGAAGCCCACTGAGGGGATAAGCTGCATCTCCATCACTAGGACACATCTCTATTCGCTGCAAAGCTACAGTGCAGGGTTCCTAAGTCTCAGATGCCCCTTACAAAACTGAAAACATTTCTTTGTGGGTTTTGTCTTTGTTGTTTTTTTGTCTGTTTTCTTTTTTTGGTTTTTTTTTTTTTTTTTTTTTTTTTTACACTGGATTGTGGACTGGTTTTATGTGAAAATCACTAAGGTATGGAGAAAATCACAATATATGCCAGGCTCTTTCTTGGTGGGGCACTTTGCATAGAATTATTTTAGAGACCACACTTGCCATAGACAAGCACCAACGGACTCCATAACTGTGCTCAAAGACCCCGAGGGCTGAGGACCTGCTTGGATCACTGGTCCAGCAATGTCTTTTTTTTCCTTCTTTTGCCAATAATCTCTGCTTAGAGATGGCTGAAAAAAGCGGTTCAAGTTTGGCTTTTTTTTTCCAAAGCCACTCCATAATTATGACAGCAATGGCAATATCTATCGTTTACTTATTACATTCTCTGACTCCAGCATTTTGCTGTCCTTTCTGTTCTCCAGGGATGTAATTCTGAGCAAACTGAAGAGCCCTGGATGCACAGATATTTTTGGGGCTGAAGTCCTTCAATTTGGAAATTACTAATTTGGTTACATCCCTGAGCAAATTGATCTGATAAACAGAGACCTTCATGTGCTGCCTCCAAGCAAACAGCAAAACCAACTCTTCAAACCTAATTTCTTACTGAAAATAGCAATTAAATTTCAAAAAAAATTAAAATTTCAAAAAAAATTCTAAGTATTTTTCCCAAGTATTGTATAAACTGAACAGTTTGTTGTTTCCAATGGTGACTGAGGTCCAAAGTCAGGATGTCATTTCCGACTTTGCCAGACTCCTTTATCAACCCTTGAATAAGCCAGCTAAGCCACCCTGCCTTCCTCCTGCATCTCTAATCAAACACACGCTGCCACAATAAGATGTTACCTGGGGAGTGCTCAGCAGAAGATAAAGCACTCTTTTAAAAAATGTTATTGTAATCATTTTCTATATTTGGCTGGTTTATGCTGCTGTCACCGAGCTGGGTTTTCTTCTGCACATCATTCAGCATAGCTGATTGAAGCCTTTCTGTTTTTAATTTCTAAAGTGATAAGGTGCCCAATCTCATTCTCTTACAGTGAAAGCTCATCAAGAGTGAAACAGTGAAAAATTGAACTCTGGCAGGAGCACATGTGCCAGAAAGAAACAGAACCTTGGAAATATGCAAGAGAGAATCTCAGAAAGAGTCCTAGACGACCTAGAAAGAGCCACTTTAAAGGCAAAAGTTTTTAAATTCAAGAGATAATATAGAAAAGTTAAGAGAAGACACCAGGTGGCATAGTCACTCACTGGAGTGAGAAGCAATTATTAAAACAAGTAAAAAGCTAATCAAATATATTTTTCACATTTATTTGTGTAAAAGAGATAAAGCATCACTTTACCTTGCACTTAAGAACTACTGATTAATTCTTCTCTAAAACTTGAGATGTTTACTATTGTGTCTATAAAATATAGTAAATTAAAATGTAACATCAATTCATTCATTTACGGCAAACTCTCCTGGAAGTAATAGTATATTTTACTTCTAAAATATTTCTTTTGTCTTAGACTAAAACCTCAGTCACATAATAGTACTGAACATTTCCCCAGTGCTACCACGTAAGATTTCTTGTTTTAAAGAGTACAGTTTTTTAAGTTACCTTCTTGAAACTACCACTCAGCTAGTCTTCTCTTTGAAAAATAGTCCATCAGGAGTCACCTTATATTTTATATAACAGGCTTTAAAGTTACAAATATTTAATTTGCATTTACTTTGAAAACTGAAGTGAAAAGCTCTTAAAATTATTGCAATCCAAAGCATAACTATATATTTTCTCACTACTATTGAATTTCCATGAAATACTATCTCCTGAAATCATTCCTAATTTTATACCAAACACCCCACAGCAGTACCCCCACTGTCAGTAAGCACTAATCCTGCTGCATAAACAGAGTACTTTTCCTGATATTTTCCCAATTCCACCCAATAACTCTGATGAATGTTTTTTTCTTCCATGCAGACTTTTGGCTCTGGAAGAGGATACAGAATCTAATATGACCATTCCCTCCTCTTTAAAATAAGGTTTATCAGTACAATACAGTCTGACACGCTGGCACTGTGAAGCTGCTCAGAAATCAACCAAAAGTTTGCATTTCAACTTTACCTTTGTAAAATGCCCAGTGAATCTCCTACAGCATTCTTCACGCCTTCCTTGCCAGGTTTCAGAATTTTCTCTCTGAAGGTATCGAACGCTTTAAAAGGCATTTTGAACGGGATAGGGGCCTCCGAGCTGTCACCAGTAGCTCTCAGAAGCTGTCATCCTTCCTTGTCTCCAGCGTGGGGAGCACTCGATTCCCTTAATGACCACCTGGAAGTCAGTGCTCATGGACAGAACTACTTAAAATCAGAAAGGAGATGACGCCCAGCCCCAGATCGTGCAAGAAGAGACAACCCTCTCCTCTCTCTCCACAAAAAAAAAAAAAAAAAAAAAAGGCTGAGGGTTTTCCAGCTGAGAATCCAGCCCCTTGCAAAAGCTACCAGCTCAGCTCAGCTCAGCTCAGCTCAGCTCAGCAGCAGCCTGTGGCCGCTTCCCAGGCAGCCACCAGCAGACTGAGCACAGCCTCTCTCGCCCTGGCTGCAGCTGGAGAAGCTAACGTGGGCTCCCGTCCATGAGGGGCCCAGACCAGCACCAGCATCTGCGGCTGACCTCCAGCTCCTCCTGCCTCCCAGCCTGGCCCGAGGCTTTCTCTGAGCGATGCTTCCCCCAGGTAACGCTATAGCAAGCTGCACACCTGCCCCTCAGCTGGCTGCCTGGGCTTATTAATGGGCTCTCCGCCAGAGCAGGCACTCGGAGTGAGGTTTATGAAACATTCACAAGTCCTTGCTTTTCTGAGGTCTGGCCCTGCGGACAGGCTCTCAGCCGCCACTTCATGCCTTTCATTGCCCTCACAGGAGACCGCTGTTCAGCCAGGCACTGGCATAGATGTGGTCCCCGGAGAATCACTTGCCATTGAGTAGCCTGCTGCAAACGCCGGGCCAAGACCATCTGGAAGGACACTGGTTTGCTTCTCATCAGCAGAGCGAGCTCTCTCAAAATGTGACGTAGATGCCATTAGGACCATCTAACAGAAGAGATCTAAGTCAGTCCTGGCACTATTAGGGTCCCTCTCCGGCTCCTTGTGTCTTAGAGATAAAGAAAACCCTCTTGTCATGACACCCAAGGCCCCTGTGGGAGATCCAGCTTAGTTTCTGCTCCCTCTGCCAAACCTGGATGAGCTTAGCAAGCTCCCTGTTGCTCCTGGGGTTTGTTCAGGCAGTTGCCCCATCCTCTGGGTCCCTTCTGGAGATGCTTAAGTCACAATAAGGCATCACCTACTCTTCAAAGGCGCGTAGACAAGGTGAAGTGTCCCTCCCTACCTCACCCGGCCTCCACAGCACCAGGACCTGGCTGGAAATGGGTGGAACCTCAAAGCCTGTTGGACTCAGGTTGATGTGTTATGCCGCTCTTACATGCATGGGCTGCAGGACAAGGCAGGATGAGGCTTCCATAGCGATGTCGCTAGGAAGGAACTGCCTTTATCTGTGAGGCTCCGGGGCCCCAACCCCAGGACAAGACTGAGAAACCAGGCTTTCCCAGGGGCCATTTCCACAGGGCCAGTCACTGCCCTCTGTGACCCACAGTCCAGGTCCTTCTCTAAGATGACTTAAGTGACATCAGAGCTGGATGCTCAGTAGGCTAAGTATTGCTAGTGTCTCCTGGGCTCTTTCTCGATGGTCCAAAGTACTCCTCATGTATTATCGCAATCTTTCCAGTGCTGCTTTGTGATTAGTAACTTATTTTCCCCAGTTTTTCTGGAAACTGAAGCAAAGAGAGGTTAGATTTGTCCGAGATCGCATAACTAGTATATAACAGAGTCCAGGTGCAGATGCAAAAGCCCTCTCTGTCTCTCTGTCTTTGTCTGTATCTGTCTGTCAGTGTGTCTGTGTGTCTGTCTCTTTCTCTTCATTCTTCCCTTCTTCCCTCTTCTCCCTGCCTTTCTTTCCCTCCCACACCACTGCAGCATATTCTGCAAGTCACATCATTCACTTGTTTCAAGTGGGCCATCTGGCAGTTCTCTGTAAATTTACCAAGTGGTACAGCCACCATCATGGTGCAATTTTAGAACCTTTCTGTCACCCCAGTGAAGATCCCTCATACTTACTATAAATCCCCATCTATCCTGCCTCAGATAACTGCTAGTCTATTTTTTTTTTTCCTGTAGATTTGCCTTTTCTGTCCACTTTAGAGAAATAAAGCATATGTTCTATGGTCTCTGGCTTTCTTTCACTTCACATGATGAGTTTGATGTCTGTCCAAGACCCAGCAGATATCAGCAGTTTGTTCCTTCCTTTTCTGCTAAAGAATACTCCATTGCATGCACACGCTACATATTGTCCATATATTGATCTAGTGATGGCCATTTAGGTTATTTCCAATGTCTGGATATTATAAAAAAAAAATGTTATAAACATTTGCCTACAAGTCTTTGTGCAGACAGATGTCTTCATTTTCCCTGGATAAATACCTAGGAGTAGAATTGCTAGTTCTTATGGCATACATATGGTTAATTTTTCAGAAGCTGCCAAATTAGTTTCCAAAGTGGCTGACTGTTTTACATTCCTACCAGCACGTATCAAGTTTCTCATTTTCCACATCCTTCTTAGTATTTTCTGTCTGCCTTTTTCAGGATAGCCATTAGAGTAGGCATGATAAGCGTATCTCACTGTAGGTTTAATACATATTTCCTTCATAATTAATGATACTGACCATCTTTCCAGATGCTCATTACCCATCCAAATATCTTTTGAGGGGTGAAATTTCTATATAAGTATTTTCCATGATTGAGATGTATCAGTATGTATCCTGGATACATACTCCTATTATTGAGATGTATCAGTATTTATCCTGGATACATATTCCAGAGATGTCTCTTGTTTATCAGATGGTTTTTGCAAAAACTTCCCTCAGTCTGGTGTTTGTCATTTCATTTTCTTTATTCTGCACTTTGAAGTAGAAATTTTTCTTATTTTGATGAGGTCAAATTCATCTTTCTTCTTTTATGAAATATACTTCTGCTATATTTAAGAACTCTTTGCCTAACCTGAGGCTGCAAAGGTTTTCCTTACATGTTCTTCTAAGAAGTTTATTGTTTTCAGTACTTCTAGGGAAATCTAGAGTCTATTTTGAGTTCAGTTTTATGCATGGTGTGAGATAAATGTCTAAGTTCATCACATAATGATCTAATTTTCTCAGCATCTTTTGTTAGAAACGCTACCCCTTCTCCAATGAATTGTCTTGGCATCTTTGTCAAAAATCAATTGAACAAAAATATAGAGATTTATTTTTGGACTTTCAAGTCTATTCAACTAATGTATATGTCTATTATTAGCCCAGTATCACACTGTCTTGACTACAGCTCTATAGTAAGTTTTGAAATTGGAAAATGAAAATCTTAACTTTGGTCTTTTTTTATTGTTTGTGCTGCCCTAGATCTTTTGCATTTGCATATAAATGTTAGAAACCGCTTATCCATTTCTACAAAAAAAAAATTCCTGTCCAGCCCTGTGCTCTTATTTTTCTGACCCCCAACCTTCCCAACATAACCTCTCATGACTCAAAATGCTGCGGCCCCAGGAAGCCACACATATGAACACTCTGCCAGATCTTTACCCATCTCCAAAGAGCTCATTCATTTGTTGAAAGCAAATACAATCATAATAAAATATGATTAACACACTGTAGTGCTACCGAAAGCATTGGCTGGTGGACTATCTAACCACTGCCTGACCCCCACATACCTTCAAGCTTCTTATCTCTTACAGCACACAGTGGAACCACTACTAGGCAAAGACTATCAGTCTAAAGAGCTGGTGACTGCTGAGGGCACTGAACATTTCTGCCATATGTTTTGCTCTGGAAACACACTTGGATCTACTAAGTTTCATAGTAGTAATTAAGATGGTTGATAATAATAATATTTCTAGAGTAGTTTGGGTCCCATATTTTAAGCATTTAATATGCATTAACTTATTTATTCCCCACAATGACTCTGAGGTAGGTACCATCATCACATCTATGAGAAGACTGAGGCACTTGCTTAAATTCATACAGCAAAGACACTGAATAGTAAATGGGATACAGACCCAAGAAGTGTGACATCAGAACATACACTCTAAACTTCTACATGAGAGCTGTTGATAAGAGAGACCTAAAGCTAGGAGTAGTGGTACATGCCTGTAATCCTAGCATTCTGGGAGCCTGAGGCAGGAGGATCACAAGTTTAAGCCAAGCATGGGCAATTTAGTGACTTAGCAAAATGCATTTTCAAAATGAAAAAATAAATTTTTTAAAGGGCTGGGTATATAACTTAGTGTGATGGCCTTGAGTTCAATCCCTAGCTTTGAAGAGAAAAACAGAGAGAGAGAGAGAGAGAAAGAAAGAGAGAGAGATGGGGGGGAAGCCAGTGCTACAATTTAGATCTGGAATGTGACCCAAAGGTCCATGTGATCAGAGCTAAATCCCTGACTGGGAGATTGTGGAGCTTTCAGGAGGCAGGGCTTAATGGAAGGCCTTTAGGTCACTGTACCCTTGAAGGAGACTATAGGACTGTGCTCCTTCCCTCCTCTTTTCTTTTACTTCCCAACTATGACTGAATAGCTTTGACCACCATTTGCTCTTTTTTTTTTTTTTTAAAGATAAAAGGAGGGAAACATTAACAGACATACAACATTTTACAACATATCACAAGCACAATACAGACAATACAGAGTTACAAACAAAGTGGTAG